AGAGATTACTGGATGGGGGGAAGCACAAAATAAATAAGAGTTTCCTAGGATCTTTGATTCTCATATGATTAGCCCACTTATCACTTACAGAGAGAAACCTGAAAACTATTATATGTTTTAAATGTTTCTATTTAACATCAAAAACAAAACTTTCTGCCTGCCAAGTGAATTTTGTGAGTCGAAACGATGGGCTACATTTATTATGCTATGTACTAACTTGCATTCTGATTATGTCATGTCGCTAGTGCTTTAAATGAATGTCTTTATTTACACAGGAATTGCTAAATTAGGAGACCAAAACACTATTAATGAAAGCATATTTTGTTTTTCTTGATTATATATTTGCCAAAGAGTTATGATACATGTAATCATTATGGAAAAATATACATTCTAATGACCTGTTATTGACAATAGTAATGCAATTACAGATGTGATACTCTTGAAGCTTAAACTGTATTAGAGACAAAAATATTGGAACCTAATTATAAATTTAAAGGACTTGAACCTTGAAAGCTATAGAAAAGTTAAAAATATATCCTAATTAACAACCAAGTGAAAAACCAAAGGATACTTATATCTAATAAACCTGAAGTTAAACGTGGTGTAAGTTATAACTATTGCCTTACCCTTGCTTATCCAAAATGTATCACACACCTACTGTGTGCTGACCTTGACTCTTCCTACAAAGAATTTATGGTCTAATGGGGAAAAGCCACATGCAACCACTCGCTTCCACACTCTGTCATGAGTACTGCAAAAGAGTATGTACAAGGCATATAATATCAGTCCACAGTATATGATTAGAGACAAAAACATGGGAAGAAAAATAAAAAAGCCTGCATGTTGGGCAGGGTCCATTTCTTTCTTATTCTCACAGCATAAGCCACAATCTATGCATACAAAATATATTATTACAAAATAATAGTGGGGAAACACTCATGTTTGACAGTTGACTTAAAACATAGCTGAACTAAGTACTGTTAGCATAGCAGAGCCTGTCTACATTCATAATATCGAATACACCCTGACCCTTTGCTGAAAATACTCTGAAATATTTCCATTTAGGAAGGCTTTGGAGTCCTGTATTATTTATAGGAATGTGCTTAGTGAATCCATGCTGATTCGGTTTGCATCTGTCGAGACTAACATAAATAAATATACAGATCTTCAGCATGGCAGGAAATGGGGCTTAATTGGAAAGGACGGAGATTTGCAGCCAGGCAGATTGTGTTAAAATCTTGGATTTTCCAGTTAGACATGCTACTTAACCTCCTGAGCAAGGCTGTTTCTTTCCTCTAAAGCAAAGATGAGATAAATATATTTTTTAAAAATATATTCTTGCAGAGCATGCTAAAGAATACTATGCATGCTTCTTGTTGCCTAGCGTACAAGGCCCTCCAGACATTAAACCCCGTCCCATTTCCCTTCCCTCATCTTCACTCTTTAATGAAAACAGCTGAATTTCTTGGGGAAGGAGAAATACAGCAGCCACAACCTATATAATGGGTAATCTTTTTCTGAGACCCTGATGTTAGCTGAGATCATGATGTCCTTTGGGGTGTAAATAAAATGAGCTCCAACTCTCTAAATCATATCTTTTGGGAATTCCAGAGGCTGTCCCTAGATCGCTGGGCAGGCTTCACCTGATACCCTCAGGAAACACCTAGAGTGTCTAGGACTTTAGACACCTCTGTCAGCTCTGTCTTCAGGCTCCTATATCCAGTGGACTCTCAAATCCCTTGGCGTCATGTACTGTGACGCTCCTTCCCTACTGCCTGTATGAGCCAGAGGAATAGCACAGCGCTTCCCCCTTGACTTCCCCAAAAACCACAGGTCTGTGTCTTGCAGACTTGAGTGTATATCTGGATACTTCATCAGAGACAGTTCACATAACGTGTCAACTTGAATTGTAGGCATCACAATTTCTTACTGGCTACTTTTCCTGACATATTACAGCCTCACAACTCACTGCCTGACCCCCTCTCTTCCTGAAGTCTACTTCCAGCTCTGTTTTGGGGGTCTCCTCTCCTGGCCTTCCCCACCCACTCCTAAGGTCTTCCCTTTATTACGCAGACTCACTCGCTCATTCTCAGCTCCTAGCTGAGCTCTGCTTTTCCAAAGATGCAGCAGGCTTGAGTAAGCAGTGTCATCGATGCCAGGTTCCTAGTCACTCCTTCTTCAAAGTGACTTTCATTGGCTACCTTCCTCCGAGTCACAGCTTTAACTGCTCCCAAGAACTGGCAGAGGCCTTATTAGTTCAGGTGGGGTTTTTTTCCGCTCCCTCACCCAACTCTGTGGAAAGGAACATGGAAAAGATTTATTTTCTTTCTCATATAAATTGCATCACTCTCTTGAGGGGTCAGGAATAGCTTAATCATTTTTGGTTTTAATAACTTTTTTCCTCCGAGATATAATTCCTTAAACCCAATTTTCCTCATATTAGCTCTTCTTCTTTTTTGGGGGGCGGGAGGAAGGAAATCATTGAATTCTTGCTAGGCTTTGTTTCCTCATTGGCAAAATTGACAGATTGGAGTAGGCATCTCCAAGGCTCCTTATTTGTTTGAAATGATGTAATTCTTTGACTATAATTATTTATATTTATCTTTAGCTTAGCAGTTACACGTTTCCAGTTAATAAAATAAGTCTACATCATGTATTTTTCTTATTTTGAAGAAAACTGATTAATCAAAACTCTAATATCGCTTTTCTTTTCTCTTTTCCTTAATTAGTTGATTCTCTAAGGAACGTCTGTTTTAGATTCATACATGCGTAGTTTGAGACCTAAATGCATCACTCGTAGATGTTTATTTGAGAAACTATCTAATCTTCCTGACCTTCAGTTTTTTAAAAATGTAAAAGAGAACGGTAATGACAGCGACCTCATTGAGTTACTCCGAGGAATAAATGTGGCGATTTATGTGAAAATAATTTGTAAATTGTAAGGCATCAGCAAATGTTAATTCATTTGAAAGGATGAAAGAAGTAGAGACTGAGAACGAAGAGGAGAGAGATGCTCTGGAGCGTGATTGGCATCTCCTAATAATAGGATAAAATGCTCAGATGGCGGCAAAGCTGAGCGTTGGGGATGCGCCTTCTTCCTCTCGGAGCGCTGGCCACAGAGCGCCCCAGGCCCTGCTGTTGGTTTGTTTAGTGGACGCGCACCGCGCATCCCAAAGCTGCCTACTTAACTAAGGGTATTGGTGTGGAGAAATCTGCAGAAAATCACAGGGACAGTGATTTCTCTCCACTTGGTAAAGTGAGCCCTCTCAAGAAGCGAGCAGCCAGACACTATAGAGTTGCCACTCTGTTTCCTATTCCATGCATATCTTTATTTGGTTCTTCAACTGTTAAATTTCACAACATTTTAAACTGAAAAACACAGAGTGCCCAAGACAGCTGCTGGAGAAACAGAGTTATAAAGCCTTGCCCCAGTGCCAGAGAGGCTGCCAGCCCCTAACTGGCTCCTGCCATGGACGCTTGTTCCACCGCCCGCAGTGACAGTGCCGATGGTGAATTCCCTTCTCAGCCCCAGCCTTTAACTGGCTCTGACGCCTGAGCACCATTCACTGCCGCTCCCTTCCAGGGGCCTTGCCTGGTGGAGCTCCCATCAGCATTCTTGTGTCCAACCCTTTTGCCTCCCCTCTAGTTTCTGCTGAAATCATTTGCTCTTTTTCTTGCCCAATCTTCCTCCAGGAAACTGGAATTCACCCCTTCACACATAATCAGACAGTTGGTTTAATTACCCCTTCTCTGTGTCTCTGCTAGATACATCTTAACATTCTCTTCAGTGATTTTTCTTTCACTTCTAAAGGTGCTTTACTCTCTCCAATTAAAAAAGAGAGACAAAAATTAAAGTAAACGATATATTTTCCTTGGCATTTCTTCATCACACAGGGTTAGCCCTTTCTTTCTCCAGTTTGTCTTTTCCCTTCTTTACAATCTGCATTCTGGATTCTGCCCTGAGTCAATTAGCATCCTCCAAAAAGCCAACCATAAGACACAAAGGTGTCAGAGATTTACTGGGGGGATGTTTGTGATGGACAAAGGGGAGAGGAAGGAAAAGTAAGTAGGATGAGCCTTCATATTGTGACACAAGCCTGTCACCTCTAAAGGGAGAAGAGGAAGGAAGATTGTGTATGAAAAGCCTCAGTTTGCCATGCCATTTGAGAAAACCTCAGCCACACCCAAGGGGCACCCAGGAAAAAGAAGGTCATCAGAGGAATTCTGGTCAGGGTGCATTGTCCCAGCTCTTCCCCCCAAAGAGCTGGAAGCTGGTTCTCTGCAAAGGAGACTGAGCACTTGTTGCATTGGTTGTAACAGGTACAGTCACTCTGGTGAAGTCACTTACTTAAAGCTCACTAATGACTACTGGCCCTTCTCTCTATTTGCAACTTTTGACAAGCTACTTCTTATAGACTGGCAAAAATTGTGGTTCTCCAGAAGCGTTCCCCACCAAAAAGCTCTCAAAAAATAGTCTATAAAAGTATTGCAACCAGCTATCCACATCACTTGGCCTATATGGTTACCGTCATTTGCAAGTTTATTCTTCCACCAGCAGGGTACAGAGCTCTTCAGCATTCATAGCTGCAGAAATTGCCATTCAGTGTTAGTCTATAAACATGCAAAAGGTATTTTACAATTTGGAGACGTTAATAACACTACTTAGTGCTGTGTGTCAGACACTGCCCTGAGTATTTTATATGTGATTTTTTAAATTTGTATCATTACCCTTTGAGGTAGATTCTATTGGTATTGACATTTAACAGAAGGTGATTCTGAGGCACAGAGAGGTTAAATATATCCTTCAAGACCACATGGCTAGGAAACAGTTAAGCCAGGATTCAAACCCACTGGTCTGCAGAGCCCACATAGCTAGTACATCTCCTGTACCACTAATATTCAAAACACTTCTCTATAAAACAGTTAATTGTATAATGTTAACCCAATGTTTACTTTAGAGCATATGAATTATGCAGTAATACTTTTTTCCTGTTTTTCAGGTCCCTGCATTCCTAACCCATGCCATAATGGAGGAACTTGTGAAATAAGTGAAGCGTATCGAGGGGACACATTCATAGGTTATGTTTGTAAATGTCCCCGAGGATATAACGGGATTCACTGTCAGCACAGTAAGTTATCCATGGTCATTGTGCTTTTATTATTACTGATTGCAAAGTGTACAAGTCATTATCATTTTGTTTGTAGTGGAATAATAGGATCTTTTGAGCAGCAAAGAGCCCCAGCAGTTGGCTGGCGCTGCTTCTCTCACACTGAATACACGGCCTCCCCAGCCAAGGTCCCCTAGACTGTGTCTGGTCCTCCTGGTGGTGGGGGACTATCCATCTTTTGTTTCCCTTTTCATTATTGTTCAACCGCACTTGCAAAATGTTGCTTTTTTTATTAAACTGATACCTGTCTCTTTTATACTTGCGTGGAAGCTACACTCTTCAAGCTTTCCAGATACAATTCTATAGACTAGGTTCAGAGATGATACCCAGGAAAGAAAAGAAAACACCCCGCCACCCCATCTATAAGCCAGTTTCCTCCTCCTTAACATGTTGGCATTTTTAGCATGAAAATCTTTGAAAGTTCAATAAGTGTGGTATTTGCACTTCTCTCTTTTATCCCCATTCGTATTTATCCTGGGAAGTTAAACAAAATATATCCACTTGTGATGATTTCTTCTCAGAAGTAAAGCTCAACATAAATGCCAAATGAGTGGCGTGGGCCCTTAACTGCTGCAGGGGTTCAGCAAGCAGGGAGGCCACGCTGGCCTGTAAGCTGCCAGGGAAGCCCCTTCCCTAGGCTGCAACCTGTGAGCCGAGCTCTGATGGGGGGATAGGATGTTGATCAGGGGAGGGGAACAGGGGAATGAATGGCACATGGTGGGACACGTGGAGATAGGAGCTCTGAATAGTGGCCTTTAAGGCCATTTGTGCTCCTTACAACTGGCATTTGTAATTGTTTCTAAGAGCTCTGATCACCAGTGAGGAACTGAGATGCTGCTGTTTTTCTGAGCCCAGGTCCTGAGTTGCTAAGGCTGATTCTCCCTTATTGTAGCATCACCGCTCAGCCTTCACACATGAACACCTCAACACATCCCCAGAAAGACAGAGATGGGAGCCCAGAGTCCTGGTCGCTTTTCATCTAGTTGACATTCACTTAATTCTGTGAAGACAATATTACTAACTTACTTATTAACAAAACTACAAAGTGTGTCAGAACAGTGCCCAGAGGGAGACAGTCTGGCTGCCCAACTTGAGCTCCTCAATTCAGAGCTGCTTGCACACAGCACACACACACTTACAGAGAAAACCCCCCTTGAAATGAGAACAGAGCTTTCATAATGCGCTGTGGTCCAGTGCTCAGAGGCAGGAATTGCACCCAAGGTCAATCATATCATCCTAACTTTCTCTTTTCTATGCTGCAGGGCCTCAGAAGGGAGAGAGTGAACATATACAAAGGCAAATTCTGACTGTTAGAAATCCTTAAAAGGACAGTATGTGGAAGGCATGTGTAGATCCTAATGTCACTTAAATATTTCATATTTATTAGCCCTTTCACCCTACCCTACTGCTGATGTCAATGTGAAGTTGGGGCTGGCCCTTAAACCCGTGGTTGAGAAACTCTAAATCTAAATTCCATCTAATAATATCTGTACAACAACACAAAATTCTTTTCACATCTCTGGGCTTTGTTTTCTTCATATTATGAAGAAACATTGTAGTTTCAGTTATGTTTAATAGCCTAGAAGTCCCATTGAAGACATCAAGCCATCATGCATTTGTACCAATATAAGTGGGTGTGACCTAGGCACATGGGGCAGTATCTACCCGCCTCTGACCCCCACACAATGGCTGGCTGTGGGCCCTTTCAAAGGAACCGTCATGTTTGGAGAAATAGAATAAATAATTCATGCCCCCATTCTCCACAGTAGAACATACAAATCTTTTCTCTCTTAGTTTACACCATACTCAAATAAGCTCATCGATCCACATAATTGTGTTGAATTTCAAGGCTTATTGTTCTTGTGAAGCAGAAAGAGACCCTCCCCCTTACAGCAGCTGATCCCCCACAAGACCTTACGCCCATGTTAGGAATTGCAATGGACAGCCCTAGGCTTTGCTATTCAATTCAGAACTGGGATTTTGTGGTCTAAACAAGTTGGTCCCTGTTCTCTGAAGTGCATCACTATTAGAGGCAACAGAGAACGGAGGGGGGAAAAAACTGGATTTGGAATCAGAGACCTGGATTTGAGACCTGACCTTTACAGTTATTGGATAAGTGACCTTGAGCCAGTTACTTGACCTTTGTGCAATTGAAGACATAAATGGAGGAATTGAACTAGAAATAGATTATCTTTGTTTCATAACAGCTAGGAGAGTATTATGACTAAGTGGGTAGCTTGCTTACTGTACAAAGGTTTTCAAGACTTCCTCTTTATAGATGAAATTGTAAAGGATTTAAAAGTCCTGGGAGCCCTGAGAGCTTTTCCAGGTAGGACAAAACAAAAGTCATTCTTTTAATGACTTGTAAGAACCACTAGGTATTTGGTTTTTTCCCCCCAGTAGTAATAATTGTAAGGTCTAGATACGCTCTAAAACCTTGCTGCTCAACATGTGGCTATGCATAAGCAATGCTTGGAAGCTTGTTAGAAATGCACATGATCAGGTGCCATCTCAAACCAACCAAAATGATCCCCAGTCGACACCCATGCATATTGAAGTTTGAGAAGTACCACCCAAGGCTTTCAGTAGCTAAAAGTAATCATCTCATAGATTAAGGTAGCAACTTCTGCATTCAGTTACATAACAGTAGTTATAAGCAAAATATTTATTGTTTTTGCAAATCAAAATTTTTATTGAAAATCAATGAAAATTATTTATAATATAAACATTGCTTTTAGGAGAAGAATTTTTAAAAATTCTTCAGACATCCATAGGTGGGGGGAGCTATTTAATTTAGTTCTATATGACAGAATGTGAATTAAATATAGTTTGTAATATAGCTAAATAGTTAAAGAATTTTAAGTTTCATGACACAGGAGTGACAAATACACAGTTAATAGGTATAGTCCTATTGAATCAGTATCTTTGGTCAAGGTACCCTGGATAAAGATAAAAGCATCTGTATGATCTTTAGATGCACCAAGCTTGATGATTACTGGCTTAAAAATGACTTTTAGCCCTGGCTGGGTGACTTAGTTGGTTGGAGCCTTGTCCTATAACTCAAGAGGTTGTGGGTTCGATTCTCAGTGAGGGCATATACCTAGGTTGCATATTCAGTCCCAGTTGGGATGACTATGGGAGGCAACTGATAGATATTTCTCTCTCACATCAATATTTCTCCCTCTCCCTCTCCCTCTCCCTCTCCCTCTCCCTCTCCCTTCCTCTGTCTCTAAAAATCAATAAAAGCATATCCTCAGATAAAGATTAAAAAAAGAAAAGAAAAGAATGACCTTTAATTTCCAAATTATATGGAGGAAGCATGCTGTTAAGAGAATACTTCTGGATTAGACCTGGGTTTTTGATGCAATTCTATTTTGATGAAGTGATGGAATCAGTTAGCACTTAATGGTTCTGAGCTTCAGTTTTATCATATGATAATTCAATTCAGTTTAACTCAATTCAGCAAGCCCGAAGAACTTTACATTGTGTTATGTTGTGGAAATAACATGTTTATGAAAATTGGAATTAATAATCCTTTGCACTGCTTCCCTATGCTTAATGGACTAATATTTTAAAATATATTGGGAATTCCTATTGGTTATTAATTTTTCCCTTCTTTTAAAAACATTTTAATTGTAATTTTTTAGAAAAATAAAATTGAGTAGGAAGCTCCATTTGGAGCTTTATGCTTTTCTATAAGAATTCCTCTCTTAACACCCCTAATTCATTGGTGATTATTATTTTTAAAAATTACTCTTTCTAAATTAGCTTCATGGCCTCTTTATTTTAGCTTTTCCTCTGGAGGATGGATTTGCCCTAATAAAGGATTCACTTCAGAACTGCATGGAATTACCTGAAGTTATCATTGACACTTGCAAACTATATAACTTACATGGGTTAAATATAAAGACCTCTAAGAAGACTTTCAAAATAGACTCCTCTCCAACTCCAAAAGAATTTCTGACTGTGAATTGAGATTTCAAGTTTTCCTGTTCTTTGATGTTTTTGCTGGTCGATGTTGACCCCTTTAACTCTGTAAGCCAGAGGCTCTTAAACTTGGTGTACATTTAAACCATCTGACAGTGCAGAATAATATTCAGATTCCTCTTGCTTATTCATAGATATTTCAATTTAATAGATTTAATTTTGGACCCTAATCTATTAACAAGTGTCCTAGTGAATCTGACACTAATGATTCTAGAACACTGGTTCTCAGCCTTGGCTGCTCATTAGAACCACCCGGGGGCCTACGAAGAATACTGATGCCTGGCTCCCACCCCAGAGACTCTTATTTAATTGGTCTGGTGTATGGTTTAGGCATTAGCAGCTTTAAAACCTCCCCAGATGATTCTAATGTGCAACCAAGGCTGGGAGTCAGTGTTCTAGAACCACACTGTGAGGAATTACTATGCCTTAAAGGAGCTAAGCAGAGAAATACTCAAGGAGAAATGAAGCTTAGGATACACAAATGGAATCCCAAACTAAATGTATAATCATGCATCCTTATTGCATTTTGTCATTCAACCTTTGCTTAATAGAATGGAAATTATCTTACAGCAAGAGCCCTTAACTGACTGAAAGAATCACGCCAGAGGAACATTATTAACTTAGTGTCCTTAAAATACATTATCCCTTAACCTATCTTCAGTAGCCAGAGTTCCCAGGCATCTTTATTTGGCTGTCTGCACCCTTTGCAGGAGCCTCACACTGTCCCGGCCGAGGTATGTAGTGGACACTTACACAAAGACACTATTCAAATACAGACTGTTTGTGGTTTTTGCAATGAAATCCTCAGCTATTCACAAACTCAAAATATTTGAAAGCTGCTATTTAGATAACAGTTAAACGTTCTCCCCCCACCCCCAGCCCCCGTTACTTATTAAAAGCAATCTGATTGTCCGAAGAAAACAAACTCTGAACAGAATTATGCTCAACGACTTTTGCCAGAAGGTTATACTCAT